TCCCGATAACTCAGTCACCTCGCACCTCTTCTCGAGCGGCCGGCGGCCAGATACAGCATTCCAGCGGTACCGCAACTCCCGGCTAGGCGGCGAGTTCCATTCGGAGATCACGGGACGTTCACTGTCCGAGTGCCTGGACGAGTGTCTGCGGCAGACGAGCTTCCAGTGCAGGTGCGTTTTGCCGTTTTGCCGTTGCAATTACTTGTTTTGATACCCTAACGGGAGGTAGTTACTTTTTTGAGGGATATTTTGTTTGCTTAGGAAATATAAATAAATAATATAAAATATAAATAAGATTCAGATGTCCCGAACCTAGGAGGTCTTTACACTAGGGTTAATGGTAGTAGAAGCAATCGGAACTTTTAAAATGGTACTAAACCAAATTCCCTTCAACAAAGAAAATCTTACGCTAAAATAATTAAGATTGGATCCCTATATAAAGTCCTTTTTTGTTGTTATCAACAAATAACATACTATAATCTATTATCAATTGAATTATCATTAAAAAAAACTACAAAATAATCCTCTATATAAGATCAAAATATTTCCATAGTTCCTACTTAGGGTATTTCCTACTTCCTCTTCAAAAAGTCAACTCACCTTTCTTCTTGTTCTCCTACTGCCTCACTAACCCATCCATTCCAACTCCATCTCCACTCTGGATCTTCACTGGATCCTCTCTCTCTCCTCGCAAATTACAGGTCTGCCGTGTACAGCGATCGCTTTCGTACTTGTCGCCTGAGTCGGTACAATCAAAAGGACGGCATGCGCATTATATACGATGCTGATTATGATTACTACGAGAATCTAATGTGTAAGTGGTTAGAGGAGGTGCTAATGGCGGGCTAGTGGTAACCGTTCTTATGCGCTTCCCTCCATTCCAGTGAATGTGGTGGGCGGAGGCGCCGATGGCGACACCAGTGGCGGGCATGGGCACAGCGGCAGTGGCAGCGGCGGCGATGGCAAGCGACCCGGGGATCAGTCGGGCAGCAACTGGAGACAGCCTAATAAGCACGACGATCGTTACGGGTCAGGCGGATCAACAGTCGGCGGAGGCGGAGTTGGCTCACATGGCGGGACAGGTTCTGGTGGCTCCAGATTGCCGGTGGGCAGCGAGGGCGTGGACTATGGCAGGCCATACGATCGTTATCCAGACTATGCGGCCAATGACTATGGTAGATATAGTCGCTATAACTTATGGCCACTAAATATACATTTATGGCATTATTACCTAGCAGATCGGTATCCATATGGAGGCGGTGGCGGCAGCGACCGCGATAGGGATCGTTATCCCCCGGATCGTTATGGTTCCCGCTATCCCGATGGCATGGGACCCTATGGCAGACCCTATGATCGTTATCCAGATGATTATGGTGAGTTTTGAGTAGTTTTTTGTATCCTTAAAACCATTAATGTCACCAGGAACCTAAGTAAGATCACCGCCTTCTACTGACAACTAAAACCTTCTAACCCCCACTAACCCCATGTCAGATCGCTATCCTACGGCGGGTGGTGCCAATGGCGACAGGGATCGCGACCGGGAGCGGGATCGGGAGCGGTATCCAGGTCCTCTCACCGACAGAGATCGCTATCCAGGCGATAGGGACAGGGAACGCTATCCGGATCGCTATCCTCCAGATCGCTATGCGGACAGGTATGGCGATCGTCGGTATCCAGACCGCGATAGGGATCGAGATCGTGAGAGACTGCCCTACCGCCCACTGCCCTATCCTGGAATCAATGACAACAGCCTGCCCAGCGATCTGCCCCACACGCGACCCTATCCCACCGATGATGATGCTCCTTTCCGGCCCTATGGCTATGGCGGAGGTCGCTATGGCGAAAACAGATACGAAGGTCGCTATCCTCCGCCCAGATTTCCACCTGGTCGAGAACGAGATCCCGTTGGAGGCTATACGGGCCGAGATGCGCCAGATAGCATTTTTCCAGACAGACGCTATAGACCTTCATCCATGGATTCGCCGAGATATCCCTATTTACCGGATTCAAGGGGACCACCGGGCCGGTACGATGATATAGTGCACAGCGCCAGAAGGCCAGAACCGGATTCTGCTAAGCGCTATCCACCTGCTCCCATTGCGCCCACTGGTTCCGCCAGCAAGTATGCCTCCACGCCGAATCGGTTTCCGGTAGGTAGCGATCGGTATCCCATTGACATCTACAAGTACGGCAATCGACCGGGACCCAATGATCTTGGAGGCCGGCGACCTGGTAAGTACACCGGGACTAACCAACTACCAAAACCGTAACCCTTAATTCTAGGAGAGATCAGGAGCTAAGAGAATGAGATAATAACTTTACTTCCTTTAGGCCTTGAGCGTCCTCCGCCTCCCTTCTACGACTATGACTACGAGGAGCGTTATGGCGATAGGTATGGACCCTACGACAGGGAATACGATGGTCCTCCTGGACGCAGACCGCCAGTAGGTGGACCCTATGGACGCTATGACACTCCCTTCAATCGTCCCTATGGCGGCGGCAATGGCTTGGATGATCGTCCTCTTCCCCTGCCAGGACTAGGTCTCTCCCATCCCCCCACGCCGTATGGTGGCGGAGGAGGACATGTGGGTCTGGGCATTGGTGTAAACTCGGGACCACCGCGTCCTCCCATAACCCGTTGTGAGGAAAGTGACAATTTCAAGCAGATCGCCGCCAGGCACAAGATGCGCCGACACTTTGTGCGCCGATCTCTGATCGTTCCTAGCCTGATCCAGTGCGAGAGGGAGTGCATCGAAAGCCGGGACTTTGTCTGTCGCAGCTTCAACTACAGGTGGGTGACGGCGACGACAACGACAACAGAAGATCTCAGATTCAGATATTTTCTACACAAGCAACTACAAATTCGCATGGTAAATTTCAATTTGCAGAGACACGGCCGCCTCCAGCTACGAGGACAGAGATAGGGATCGGGATCGCGAGTCGCCCAACTGCGAGCTAAGCGACCGAGACTCGCGCGAGCTGGACATTCACGATCCGGGCTCCTTCGACGCCTCCAACTATGACTTTTATGAGCGCAGCATTGGACGCAGTGGCGATGGCGAGTGCATGGATGGTAGGTGGAGGTGCTCACATGTAGCCACACAATCTTAAGTGGTATGATCTCTCTCCACACAGTGACACAGACTTGCAATGAGGAGGGAATGGAGTTCACCATCCGCACACCGGAAGGCTTCTTGGGACGCATTTACACCTATGGCTTCTATGATCGCTGCTTCTTTCGGGGCAATGGCGGCACTGTCAATGTTTTGAGGATTAGCGGTCCTCAGGGTTATCCGGATTGTGGCACACAGAGGGTGAGTATCCTTGACTTGACTAGATCTGTAATTAATCGAGTTTTTCCTTAGTATGGCGACACCCTGACTAACATCGTGGTGGTCCAGTTCTCGGATAATGTACAAACGAGCAGGGATAAGCGCTACAACCTCACCTGCATCTTCAGGGGTCCAGGAGAGGCTGTGGTCAGCTCGGGTTACATAGGAGCAGGGTAAGATATCTCTGAAATCTTCCTTAGACATTCCCTTTATTAAAGGAATTATTCCCCCAGTTCTGGCAGCCCCATTCCTATTGAGTATCTGCCAGCAGAAAATACTTTAAGCTCCAAGGTTCGCCTTAGTATCCTGTACCAGGGCAGACCCACCACCACGATAGCTGTGGGTGATCCTCTCACTTTCCGTTTGGAAGCCCAAGATGGCTACAACCATGTGACCGACATTTTTGCCACCAATGTGGTGGCCCGAGATCCCTACTCCGGACGCAGTATCCAGCTGATAGATCGATTTGGCTGCCCAGTGGATCCCTTTGTGTTCCCAGAATTGGACAAGTTAAGGGATGGCGACACCCTGGAGGCCAGGTTTAATGCTTTCAAGATACCCGAATCCAATTTCCTGGTCTTTGAGGCCACAGTTCGCTCCTGTCGCGAAGGATGCCAGCCGGCTTATTGCCCTGGGCCAGCGGGTCGTCAGGAGCCATCTTTCGGACGCAGACGAAGATCGCTGAATGTAACTGAGGAATCCACAGAACCCGAGGCTCTCGCTTTAGAAGGAGGAGGCGTGAACCAACTGGAGGCCGATGAGGTTACAGTGGTCAATAGCACCACAGTGAGTGCTACCATGGGACAGGCTTCCCTGAATGAGACCCAAGTGGGAGAAAAGTCCAAGGAGGCCGAGGAACCAGAGCAAGTTCGTGAAATGATAGAGGTAAGTGCATGGGATAACCACAGGTTCATCCTCACAGGTTAATCCTCTGCCCATTAGGTGTTCGAAACTCGCGAGGAGATTGAGAAGGAGTCGTATCCCCGCAAGCTGGTGGCTCCCGTGGAAACGGTGTGCATGACTCCAGCGGAGTATCATGGCCTGATCACCGCCATTATCCTGCTAATGATCCTGCTATTCAGCATAACGCTAGTAGCGGGCCTGGGCTACAGGTAAGTGCAGGAAAATCCTCCATTAAAGGCGAAGAATCGTTGGCTAATTGGTGCTTCCCGTTGGATAGACGCTACTGGAAATCGATATCGAAGAACCGTTTGGTGGACCGCCACTCGCCGATCCATTCGCTGGGCCACTCCCATTCCTCCATACGCACCCATGAGCGCTTCACGGAGATCGGACACATGCCCAACCTGTCTGGCAGCGGAGGAGGAGGAGGAGGAAGTGCCAGCGGCGGAACTGGAGGCGGAGCCAATCAGAGCGCATCGAATCGGGCCTCGAACGCTTTTCGCACCAACATGTCCATGTTCGGCGGCTCATTACACAAGACGTTTGCCACGGGGTGAGGGGAGCACTGTCCATGTCCCAGTCACTCGACCGGTCCACTTACGAGGTGTTTAATGTCTTTACAGCAACTTGGCGCGCATGTGCCAGCTGCCAGTGATAAATCCCATGCGCAGCGCCGCCCATGGCCACCAGTTCGAGGATCCCAGCGAGCCCATCTATACGGATCCCTCGCTCTTTGAGCGTTCCAGGCAAGTTCTCGGTTACATATATCCGATTTGGTATTTTATTCCAATTTGTCGCCACTAACTAACTCTACAAGGGTCGGCAGATGCAGAGACCCACTTTGTTGCAAAGTCCATCCGCTCCGCCAGCTACGCGGCATTGAACGCCACACATATCTCCCTGCTGCTGGCACAGACCTTGGTACGTGGGCAACTCGCCGATGCCTGGAAACCAGTAGTTAGTTAGATAGTTAGTTAGTTAGCGGAAACTTTAACCAAATCAGCAGCAGACTTGCCTGCTGCCTGGGCAGCTTCCAGAAGAACCCAGGAGAATAGCAAAATACACAGACAGAGGCGCAGGGGTACCATGTTGATGTGTTTAGAGATTGATTCGAACTGAAAAAGTCAAGAGCTTGACATGGGCGATAAACCGTGGCAGTATCAGGCTAGGGAATCTCTCTCTGAGCTAGCTGCTCTCTTTCTATTCAAAATATATTCCTAATACTCTGATTATTTTTTTATATTTTACTCTCTCTTGAAATATATTCCTTAAATTTTGTATATATTTTTATATTTTACTAATTAAATCTTTTTGTATTTTTTACCCTCCACAGATCACTGCGTAGCCTGACCATGGTGGCCGAGTCCGAGGATAATCAGGAGGTCTGATGCTGCATGCGCCTCTTGTGATTAGTTGTAAATAAGCTAAAGGTTCTAAAAACAAAGCTCTCCACTTATCAAAAAACAAAAACTCAATCAATATCTTTATACGCTAGCTGAATGCGTGGGAGGCTCTTTATATAAACAGAGCTCCATTCCAAGTAGCCTAAGACTTGCACCACAGAGCAATATCCAAATATTTAACATAGTCTTTGTAAGCCTTAACAAAACAGAAGGAAACCCCATTAATTATTCTCTATAACAGCTAAGATATGAAATGCAATAAAGCCTAAACTTATCCATATCACTGAGGAAGCCTTTCCTTCTTTGCCGAGAGAGAGAAATGCAAACGAGGCCATTAATCAGCAGCCAAGTGGAGCCTGGGCGGGTTAACGAGTGAGGCCAAGTTGCAAGTTCCAATTGCCAGTTGCAGTTGCACTTACAGTGGCAGTTTCCGTTGGCATACACAGTAGCCCGAGGTGGCTTAGTGGCCAGCACATTTGCCCAGCAGGATCGGTTCAGAGGCCAGCACATAAATCAAGCTCTCCAGCTTTGTGGGTCACCAAACCAATATTTAAAAAGGCATTAGGAACTCCTATACCATCCAGGGAACACTCCAAGCCTCCTCTTTACCAGTTACAGTTACAGTTTAAGAACCACTTTGTTTCGAATAAATTAACACCTTTATTTTTAAAACCTATAAATGTATATTTAAACTAATGCATATACGGAATCCAGGCCAGCGCCTGGCTTGCTGGTAGTTGACTAGCACAAATAGAAAGGGCTCCACATGCCTTCTTGGTGGGAAAGGGGAACAGCTAACTCAAGTTCTAGGTCCTAAATTACAATATTTACAATTATACCCTACCGCTAGCTAGCTTTTATTAATCATCGAAGAAGAGTATTTCTAGAATTCGCTTCTGGGCACTCTTCTTGCGCTCCTTGTTCATCTTGAGCAGCTCGCTGGTGACCAGCTCGCCCAGCAAGTGCTCCGATAATCGCTGCACGCCCTGCTGACTGGGCGGTGTTTGGAATTTCCCAAAGTTGGAAGGATGTGAGCCACTGGCCTGGTGTGGAAACTGCTGGTACAGCTGGAAGAGGAAGTCCGTGTTTGAGGGAAACATGTTCTGGTGCTGCTGATGCTGCTGTTGTTGCTGCTGCTGCTGCTGCTGGTTATTGCTTCCACTGTTATTGTTGCCATTGTTATTCCCTCGCTGCATGCCCATGGAATTGTTGTAGTGGCTCTCGTGCATCATCACCTGAGGCTCCATTAGATCATGGCTATTGTCATCCGAATCGTCATCGGAGTCGTTGCCAAAGTGCCCGGCACTTCCTCCGCCATTGCTGGCCATCTGATTGTGGCCATTGATCTGCACCCGAGGCTTCTTCATATGGAAATTACCGGACGTCGAGGACGAGTCAAGATCATCGCTGGCCTTGGGGTTGTAGACATGCGACTGCTGTTGATGTTGCTGCTGCTGCTGCTGCATCTGTTGCATGTTGGAACTGGTGCTGATGGAACTGCCTGCGGCACTGGAAGAGGAATGTACCACCGGAAGCTGCTGGCCACCCGTTGCCGGTGATTGCTGTGATTGCTGCTGTTGCTGTTGCTGAGGGTGAAGGCTGCCTGCGCTGATCACCTGCAGCGGCGATGAAAGCGGTGACTTCATCGAGGAAGAAGTGGAGGTGAGGCTGCCTGCACTGTTCTGAACGCCCGAGACACCCACGGAGCTGCTGTCCTTGTACTGCTCCTGGTAGCCCTGCGAGGAATCCGCCATAACCGCCGCCACGGCAGCCGCCTGCTGTTGCATTTGTGTTTGTGAGATTTGCTGGAGTTGCTGCGAGGCGACGGCCGCAGCAAAGTCCCTGAAGACCTGATCCGCCTCGATCTTGACTTGCCCGTTGACGGTCTCCAGCGCCGAGGCTGCTGCCGTACTCAAGGCACTCATGGAATGATGCTGCTGCTGCTGATCGGGCTGGTGGTAGTGATGGCCCTGACTCGAGCCGCCGCCGCCAAACTGAGACACGTTCTTCATGCCATTGGAGCTGTTGGATTTGTCCAGTGCCTGATAATCGTTATAACTGGAGCTGTTGGCCGACTGTGGCGACGTGAGGAAGTTCGGCACATGGCGGTAGGACTTGCGGGGCTGGATGTGCTGGTCCAGGAACTTCATCTTCTCCAGGTACGGGCGCGACAGGTGTTCGTAGACCGGCGGATCGCCCTGCTTCCGCTGGGAGACGTAGCGTTCTCGCAGATATTTCCACCGCTTCTTGCACGTGTCCACTGCAGGGAACAGAAATTAATCCAATTATATATCCAGTGTCTTGGCTAAAGAAGCGTTGTCTTCTGGGGCGCTCCGCTTACCATCCGTGCGCAGCTTCATGGCAATCAGCTGCCAGGCCTCGTCCTTCGTCTCGTACTTGCCGCCATTGGTGCTGCCGTTCAGGTAATACTTCTGCCGGTTGTAAATTACTCCATGCTGGGCTACCTCGTCAATTAATTGCTCGTCCATCATTTTCGTTTAATTCGCGTTTTTAGTTTTGCCTAGAGATGGGATATATGTATCAAAATATCTCTATCGATAGTTTTATAAAAATATTTATATTCGATTGTTCGGTAACGACTTTTCTGCAGGGAGGCAAATTAAAAACAAAATAAAACAGTTTCTTGAATCTCCAATTTATTCAATTATTTTGTATTAGAAAAGTTCTAAATTTACGTATTTCCAAAAATCAAGCATTCGACTTTATTCACTTTCAAATATTTGCACCAATCGATTAATTCTATCGACTTCTGCTCACCCCTAGTACTTCGCACTGGTTTCACATCCAAAAATTGAATTGCCGTTGAAAGAACCTTGATTTCATTCGCGCCTTATAAATCAAATAGAAATGTTTAAATTGGTCCGCCAGCTCCTGCCGCAGCAGCGGATCCTTGCCAACTCCGTGCGCCTGCCCCGGCTCATCTCCACCAGCGACGAGGTCAACTCGGAGCCCATTATCAAGTCGATGGACACGATTGGCGGCCTGCCCACAGAACTGGTCAACGAACAGAAGCTGAAGAAGACTAGCAGGTACACTTATCTACCGGTTTTTGCCGCACTTGACCTTTGCCTCTTTTGTTTTGTTTACGTTTGGACCGGTATGCGCATTAAGCGAATGCCTGATTTGGGCGTGATTTCTGGCCAGGAATCTCTTCAGACTTTGGGGTTTCTTGCTACTCGCGGGAGGGGGGAGAAAGTTTGTACCTACTTATGCAGTCACGTAGGCCAGGCAGCAATGTGTTTGTGCTTGTGTGTGTGTGCGTTAATAGTTCTGCATTCTATTGTCTTGGCTTTGTTCTGTTTGTTTTTCTCCACACAGAACCTTATCGACGCTCCAAAATCACTCCGTTCCCATTGCGGCCCGCGTCACGGTGTCGAAAGATGAAAGCCGCGACTTTATGGCCGTGTTCCCAGGTTAGCTAGCTGGCGTTTCGATTTGTTTATGCCAATTATCATGCTAATACTAATGCCGATTCCGTTGCTTTGTTTGCAGATCTTGTGCGTGACATCACCACCGTGACGAAGACGTACAACTGCAACGATGCGGCCAAATGGTTTGCCCAGGTCCTGCAATACAATGTGCCCAGGGGCAAGAAGAACCGTGGCATCCTTACCGTCTTGACCTACAAGAATCTGGTGCCGGCCCAGGATCTCACGCCGGAGAACATCAAGCTGGCCCAGTATCTGGGCTGGTGCGTGGAAATGGTGAGCATTTCTTAGGCCAAAGGGTGCTTCTTACGCTACTTACTCCCTTGCTTTTTACAGCTTCAGAGCTTCTTCATCATCTCGGACGATGTGATGGACAACAGCACCACCAGACGTGGGCAGCCCTGCTGGCACAAGGTCGAAAACGTAGGCCTAACCGCCATTAATGACGCTTTGATGATCGAGAATGCCATGTATGCCATACTGAAGATGCACTTCAGCCACTTGGATTGCTATGTGGCGCTGATGGAACTCTTCCACGAAATCACCTACATCACCACCTGCGGCCAGTCGCTGGATCAGCTTAACTCGAACCGAAGTGTCTCGGATTTCACCATGGAGAACTACAAGGCTATTGTTGAAAACAAAACTGCCTACTATTCCTTCTACCTGCCCTTCGCCATTGCTTTACACTTGGCTGGGTAAGTTTTAATAGTTTTATTCCCCTCCTATCGCTTATATCTTGCTCTATTGTTTAGCTACAAAGACGCCGAGGCCTTCAGACAGTCCAAGACCATTCTTCTGGAAATGGGCAACTTCTTCCAGGTACAGGACGACTTTCTTGATTGTTTTGGCAATCCGGAAGTGACGGGCAAGATTGGAACCGACATTCAGGACAACAAGTGCTCTTGGCTAGCGGTGGTGGCCATGCAACGAGCCAATGCCGAGCAGAAACAGATCATGATTGATTGCTATGGCAAAGAGGGTAATGTAACCTGTAGCAATTGAATTGTAAATTTGTAAACTAACTGAATTCTTTTAATTACAGATCCCGCCAAGGTAGACCGAGTCAAGGAGCTGTACAAGGAGCTCGGACTGCCTTCGACCTATGCCACCTTTGAGGAGGAATCCTACAACATGATCAAAACTCACATACAACAAACCTCTCGCGGGGTGCCGCATCAGACCTTCCTGCAAATTCTCAACAAAATCTACCAACGTGACTCCTAAATTAATCGTTTTTTTTTTATAAATTATATTGTAGTTTTTAGCATTTACATGGATGAACTGTTAGCATGGGCTCAGCAATTACAACCGAAATGGAATTTTAACTATACATACATAACCTTGTTCTTGGCTTTAGTCATCTGTGAAATCGAAGGGAGCAAAGGCCTTACGAAAGTCCTCTACATAAGCCACTTCCTCGTCTCTTTCTAGAAGGCACTCCTTCCAGTTGACCTTCTCGTCGCAGTTTAGCAGATTCTCCGAGCAGAAAACGTCCCTGGAAAGAGCTTAAATTAGCTAAATTCGAGCAGTAAGTTGAGTTTGCAATTTCACCTGGCAAAATGAATGGGAAAATGTTTCATCTGGCGCGTTATAAGCGTGCTGTCGTCTGGCAGCTCAGCTAGAAAATATGGCCCCATTTCTGGCAGCATTTTCACGGAATCCAAGGCCGGCAATGTCTCAAATTCCAGATTAAATTCCTCCGCCTTGTCCTCGAAACTATGCTTTATCTTCCACGCATAACCCTCCTCGAAGGCCAGGACATTGATCTGCAGGTGAACGGACTTGTAATGCCGCTCCGTGAAGCACACAACCTGACCGAGGGACTTGAAGAACTTGCGCAGAGCAGCCTTGAACTTGTCCAGTTCCTGCCAATCTTCGGGACTAAGCTGGGCAGCGCAGGGCACATGTTTGGTGGATAGAATCATGACGTGATTTTTATTTATGGGTCCCTTGGCCAAAGCCAAATAGAAGTGCTCGCCCACGGTGATAATGAGGTGCTTCTCCACATCGGGCGAGGACAAGCAGAACCAGCACTTTTCTGTAATAAAGGGAAATAATTATGCAAGCTGTTAAGGAACTTTTATTCCCTACAAACCCTGATCAATTTGCGGTATCCTCGGGCGTTTATCTCTCCTGTTGTTTTCACCGCCCTGCCGCTTGCGATTGCCACCTTCCATGTCGTAAAAGTACTGACGATTTTCCGACTGTTAAATAATATTCATTAAAAACTATTCGATGAGGTTTACGGGAGATCCTAAAAGTACCCACCGAATCATTCTTGCTGACAGCTCCTCCTAGGTCTAGGCCTATAAAAGGACAAGGTATTTCATTGGTGGTCTTTTGCACTAGGTCCAGCAATCGTGACTTATCCACTGGCTTCAGGCTGAGCGCGTAAATGTACTTGGCTTTATTGGCATTGCCCACATCCGCCAAGGATATGAAGCGCGTGCACAACTCGAACTGTGTGGTCTCATCCTTGGGCATTCGGAAGGGAGCACACTCGTAGTGGGTGCCATTGATGGCGCAGAAATGATAACGCGGCTTGATCTCACGGCAAAGAAAGGAAACCAGCTTGGATGCATTGGCCTGTAATTGAGTCGTTGAATTAAATATTCATTATAGTTAAAATTAGAAACATACATTCTCCTGCTCCTGCATGCCATATGGCCACTGCGAGGTGAGCAGCACATCCACTCCCCTGTACTCCGTGGAGCAGTTCTTGGACACCAGGCAGGAGTTACGCACAGCCAGGACATCGGCTTTCGTGAACTCGAATTCAGAGCCTGAGGATTCTGTAGCGCCAGCAGCTTCAAAACCACTTAGATAGGCTATTTTCACGCCGCTGCTGAGCGTGTAGACTCCACGCCGGCCCAGATATGTGAGATTTGTGCAGATTTCACCATCCGCCAGATCAGCAAAGTATTTGGTGTGCTCCTTCTTATTAGGACCAAGGACATAGGTGGGCACGGTGACTGAAGATATAAAGAGCTTGTTAAGAGCCACATAAAACCATTAATATATGTACTTACTGTGCTTGAATCCATTTTTGTAAGCAATCAGTTCCTCGTTTTGCTTGTCGTCGCCAAAGAAGTCTCCGACACAACACAGGATTTCAAAGGGTCCTGCCTTTTTGTTGACCTGCTCCACGCGCTGGAACAGTTGCTTGAAGCGACCCCGCACATCGCCCACAACTAAGCTGGGAGGAAATGGTAGAATTATTAACTTTAAAACACATTTTTAACTCCTGTTTGTTACTTACATTTTGGTGCCCGCGTCCATGTTATCGATAAATGGTTAATCGATTCTTTTCCTACCATGCTCATCGCGGTTGGTGCTGCCAACTGATTACAGCTTATGGCGGCGGAATTCAAATTTACAACTAAATAAGATTTAATTTGATTGGTTTTTCCCTATTTTAATTTATTTATTCAACATGTAACCATGCTCTTTAAACATAACTATCACAGTTACCACTCGTTTTGGACACCATGACACACTTTTAACTGGATTTGCCCAGCTCTTTAGAATTTTTTTTCGGCAATTGCTGGTTAATTGAGCGTTCAACGTTCTATGATTATATAATCCATAAACTATAACCTTAGTGCAATGTCAATGGCCCAAAATATGGAATTATTTATGACATTGGCCCCAAAGCAAGCGACAGCCAGCCGATTGCAACAATGAACTTTTGCTGGGCCTTTCTGGTCATGCGTGGCTGGCACTATTAAGTGGCCATTACTCTTCGCGATCCATTAGATGTGGGGCTGTGTGTCCGGCGCTGGATATAAAATGGGCCCTGCCAGTTCACATCCATATCAGTCATCTCTCAGTTGGTCAACCGCAGTAATGTCGCCCATTCAGACACTCTTGATCTCCGTTTGCTTGGGATTTGTGACCCAAATATCGGGTCAAACAGCCATCGATTGCCAAAGGCCACCGCAACTTGTGGTAAGAAACTTAATGGGAATTCTTTGGCACTTCAGAAGATTCCTAACTTGGTTATCTCAACCTTTAGGATCCAGCTCTTTGTTGCAAGGACGGCGGTCGTGACCAGTTGGTGGACCAGTGCGCCCAACGGATTTTGGGAGCAGCCAAGACAACCGGCGGACCGCCTTCTATAGACTCTGCTGCTGTGAGTATTAATAGTTAGACTTGTCGAGAATCCTACTGATATGTTTTTTTAACCATTTCAGTGCCTGGCCGAGTGCATACTCAAATCTTCCAAGTACCTCGAGGATCCTCAGAAGCTCAACTTAAACAACATACGCAGCGATCTCTCTGCCAAGTTCTCCAACGACAGCGTTTATGTGGAGGCCATGACCATGGCTTTTTCCAAGTGTGAGCCCCAATCTCAACGTAGATTGGCAATGATTCTGCAGCAGCAGCAGCAGCAACAGCAGCAGGCTCAGCAGCAGAATCAGCAAGCGTCGCAGCAACGCTGCAGTCCCTTCTCCGCCATAGTTCTGGGCTGCACCTACATGGAGTATTTTAAGAATTGTCCAGAGCACCGTTGGACACAGAATGCCCAGTGTGCGCTAGCCAAAGCATATGTAACGCAGTGCGGCTTGGGGGCTTAATTGTAAATATATAAAACGTAGGAAATAAATTTTTAAATTTGAATTATAACCTAGTGTGACCAGCTGCTTACGCTGAAGAAAATCCTCCCCGACTGCGCTAGCTAGCCGGTATTTTCGCCACAGCCTCGACTCCCAGACGAAACATTTTCATCTTCCAATCGCAGCCTCTCTGAAGTGTTTTTTGCATTTTACTGAGATAAACTCGGAATCGGGCCGTGAAAAGTCTTGCCTAGTTGCTGCCCAAGTGCTTCCTAAAAGACATTCTATTATAATCAAAATGGTTGACCTCACCGACGCCGGTTCGCCCTTCCAGCAGTCCATTCCGAATCTCGCCTTCTATGTGCCGGCTGTTGTTGTTTTCACTTTGGCAGGTGAGTTTTGGTCAAGTCAGCCTCCTCCCCCTTTGATTGTTACCCCCTCCCAGCAGTCACGTTACTCCCCTCCCCGTTTTTTTAATGCATGTAATAACCTGGCCGAGATCCCGACCGCGAATTGGGTCAAAAGACTTTCACCAAGCGAGCAACTAGAACGTTAACCCTTATGCTGGTGCCTGTGCTTTGGCCCCAGCTGTTGGATGTCTTCGTTTGTGTTTGGTTTTACCTTTTATCTGTTTTGATTTGGTTTTGATTTGGATTGTCTTACGTGTTCTTTCTGCCCATCATATCACTCTAGTTTTATTTTGGTTTTTTGCGTACGTAGTCAAAAGTTTGTGGGTTTCAAGAGCGATAAGAGGGGCGTCTGATAAGAGACCGGCCACCATTCACTTGTGCAAGTGGTACAGTCAAACCTCTGAGGAAAACATAAATCTATGTTGTATAGAACAGTGGGTACAGTGGCAATAAGGTGTAAGGAGAGAAAAATAAGTATCATATTTTGTCAGATTCTGAACTGTTAAGATAGATTTCTATTTAGTTAAGCTCCGATTTTCACTTATGGTGGATAATCCTGGTATAGGTTTTGACTAGTAAGCAAGACTTTATGATTTAAAACTGACTTACCACTTAGAAAACCATATTTTAGAGTTTAAACTATATGCCTCTTTTGGTGGGTACCTTTACAGGCAGTTTCTATATAAGCCAAGTCCGGCATTGATAAGCACATGGCTCTCCCTTATCGTAGCACACCCAATACAAGTACCTATACCTATACTCCGCTCTCCACCATGCCAACTTCTTTGGACTCCCTTCTACCTTTGGAAATATATGCTGACGAAGGCAGGTCCGGGGCAAATCGAAAAGCGCAGCGAAAACACGGCTACTAGTAGCGACCGGGCATATCTCAGAAATATAAATGAAATATAAGCAACTGATTACACACGAGTGTCAGTTTATTTTCGTATTGATTTTAATATGATTTTTAGAGAGTGCTCAGTCCTCCCGAGCAGCAGAAGGCCGGAGCACGTAAGCAACGGCAAGCGGCCAAAAAAAAAAAAAAATATAATTTAAATAATTACCGGGTCCGAGCAGCGCTCACTGGGGGCACCTCTCGATCTTTAAGTATTTAAACTCCCCCTTCGATTGTCTTAATCTCTGCATGCCGCGTGTCCAAAGATAATCAATGCCCAGTGTCAAAAAAATCTCGTATCTGTTTAGTTTTCGTTTTGCCACGTTGTTTGTTTTCTGTGATTTAGTTTTGCCCCCAGTAGCAGCATGCTGATCCCCGCTGAAACCAGCAACCAGAACCCAGAACCGTATACTATGTTTTCATCCCCAATTCAGACGCCAACCGCTAAAGGCGAGCCCACAGACAGACAGCCCCGTAAATTAAACTCCATCCCAGAAAGAGAGAGCAATTAGACCATGGCTGAGGATCCGATAAACCAGCAGGCATTCGCCGACGACGTGGCAGCGGCAGCTGCAGCCGGAGGACCGGCTGGCTTTGCCGGCGCCGAGCCCGGCCATCCGGACTTCAAGATGCCCAGTGCCGATGAGATCTGGAAGTTGGTCGAGAGCATGGAGGGTATTTCGGATGAGGAACGCGCCGAACTGCGCGATAGCATCTACAACCCGAAGCCACCATCGCCGGAGGACTTTATGCGCCAGTACGGACAACCTGGCCACAGTTCGCGGGAGTACATATTCTTCTTCGTGATGCTGGCCCTCATTCTGCTCGTCTTTGGTAAGCTGAACGAGAGCCCACGCCGTCGTCGTAAAGCCTTATCGGGTGCGATATCCGCACCCACTTGTGCAGAGCAGGGGCGGTGATAAGTGTGTCAGGGGGCCCTGCCAAAGCCCTCACACTCACAAATACACACGTTCGGGCTCCAGGATAGAATGTTTGCTTCGTTTATAGGCGTTCGATTTGCGATAAGATAACACACAGGGCAGCATAGGTAGAATCCATCACAGACATACCTATTACGAAGACCAGACAGTACTCGACAGGGATCCATGCCGGCGAGTAGTTGACACACACACCGAACCGAGAGATTTGTTGCCGCCGCCATGAGCCATCATGAAGTCGGCGTGGTTGAGCAGCTGAAAAAGTCCGTGGAGGAGATTGTGGCCAAAATGGGGCCCAGCAGCAAGTTTTCGCAGGATCTGATCAAAAGGATAGGCGATATGCAAAGCAAGCTGGAGTCCCTGGCCGACACGGACCGGCATCAGTTTCTGGCGGAGATGAAGGACAAGTTTGAGGCTACGATCGGTCGGATCGAGCAGCGCATAGCTCAGCATGCCCACATTGCTCAGACCTATTCCAGTTCAAAAGTGATGGCCGTGATCTTTCTCCTAGTCTCCATTTTCGGTCTCAGTTACCCTTCAGTGATTTCTGTGTGAACCCCTAGTTAATATGCCTCTTTCCAATCCCATTACAGCTCTCTTTGGCTACAAGCTGTACAAGTCCCTGACGGAGAAGGAGCTGAAGAAGCAGGAGAAGCTCAAGAGCAAGCAGCAGAAGAAGGCCAAGAAGTCCAACTGAGCGAGGAGGAGGAGGAGAATCCCTTCCAGCTGTTGTTAATCAATATAAACACCGACCCCCCTGTAAATGACTAAATTATGAGTTCAGTAAACGTAATGAAATAAACAGTGCCCCGTAATAATAATGATACTTGTAAATGTCATGCTAAATGTCGCACTAATTGCCATTAAGGTACATCGCCAGCGCCATCAGGAAATGCAAATCAGAAGGAAATCGGTGTCGTGACTTGTGAACTTGTTGCTGCTTATCTAGCTCCTTTGTGGCCTCCGTTGCCCCGGGAAACGGTCGGGTCGTTTTGTCGAAGCGCCTCCTGTCAGGCGGGGCTCTATTAATAGCCAGATTCAGTTTCTATTTACCCAGTTAAGCAGCAACACTCGAAGCAGAGAATTATAAAAAACACCCATCATCATGTCCTACTCCAGCCGTAAGTATAGATATGCTTTCAACTTTTCCCTTACTCTCCTCGGACCCCGCAGGATTCGGTTTCGACTTCCATCTGCCGGATGAGGGCTGGTGCTATCCCAGGAACGATATGCACTTCATCCGCAGCGCCGAGTGGGTGCCCGTGGAGAAGGCTGGCGTCGGTCGCTCCTTTGCCAATCCCAATGGCGTGATCTATCCAAGGGTCGTGGGCATGATTCCGCGCTATGGTGGCCATGTTCCTGGCAATAAGTTCCGCGTGGGCAACACCTGGGGCCGCTCCACCATAGACGCCAAGCGTCATCTGGCCCTCAATCACGATTGATTTGCCTCGGAATTCTTAGATGCCTCCCTCGGTCACTTATATAGCCAATCAAAATTGCTGTGTTACGCTTAGAGAAGCACCCAGAATAAAAAGTATAAAATGTGTTATGAAATAGTGTTGGTTTTTATTTTTAAGGAAATTTTTATTATAATTTGAATAAATAAATTGTTGTTCCAGGAATTATTTAAAATTTGAGAAAATTATTTTAAAGTAATGTAACTTACCTTTAGATTTATTTAAACAAAAGTGATATTGTTTTTAAATTCATACCGACTTCTGTAACTTGTTTCAAAGATAAAACAGAAGGGAAACAACTTCCTAAATTTATAATAATTTAGTATAATTATCTAGCTTTTTAATACAGATTTCTTATAAATTATGATAAGAATAAATTCAAAATAAACGTCTTTATCGTTTATCTCATTATCGATAAGTCCCAGCCCGCCAAAACTAGAATTAATTAAAAACCAGGCAAACAACAAAAGAATTCCCATATCCTGCTTTCATCTACGCTTTGAAAGTTATAAAATATAAGTTATTTTCTAAAAAATCATAGAAAAGATAAGTTAAACCTTCGAATTTCACAAACTTTATCCCTAGGCAGTGTGACCAATTCTCAATAGTCGTGAAATACCCCAATTATTCCTAGCCAAAGTTTAGGATTTTGGCGGCCAGCGGTGAAAGCGATCCGCAGATAAGAAAGTAAATAACAATAATCACCATTATTGGACAATTTTCGTCATCTATTTAACCAGCATATCTGTTAAAGCCACAAAACACATGGACCATGGGTCTAAATCTGCTTAGCATCTGCCGACGAGGCCTCCATACGTCTCCTGCCCGCCTACAGGTGATCCAGGGCGTAGCGCCCACCAAACGGATTTGCATTGTGGGCGCCGGACCCGCCGGCTTCTATGCCGCCCAACTGCTGCTGAAGCAACTGAGCGACTGTGTGGTGGACGTGGTGGAGAAGCTGCCGGTTCCCTTCGGACTGGTGCGGTAAGCAGGAAACTAGGCTTAGAAGGCGGAGGCGGTGTTGTTTGCTGTTGGTCCAAAGCCGAAGAGGGGACCCACTACAGACCGGAAGATGCCACTGAAGTAAGCTGTGGGAGAAGCTTAAGCTTGTAATCTCGCCAGAAGTCTGTACAGCGGGAAACTTACCTCCCAATTGGTCAAGACCCCACAAAGTACTGTCTGCCGCCGCCTGGCTGCAGGTGAAGATCAGCAAGAGGCAAAGAATCAGTGCCGCCATCGGCATCTTGGAAGCAAAAACCGTGTGTGACTCGCACTCAAAGCTCAAATGCTTTTATCCGCAACCGGGTTGCGTGTCATGCATTCCATCCATCGCACTTATCGACTAACGACTTGTCCCATTATGCAAATCGCACATTGCAGCTTTGGCGTTGCGCCCGATCATCCGGAGGTCAAGAACGTGATCAACACCTTCACCAAGACCGCCGAGCATCCGCGTCTTCGCTACTTTGGCAATGTGTCGCTTGGAACGGACGTCAGCCTGAAGGAGCTAAGGGAACGGTACCATGCCGTGCTCCTTACCTATGGCGCGGACCAGGATCGAGAGCTGGAGCTGGAGAACGAGCAGCAGGGCAATGTAATATCTGCCAGGAAATTTGTGGCCTGGTACAATGGTCTGCCAGGAGCGGAAAACCTCAATCCGGATCTCAACGGGCGAGATGTTACAATTGTGGGACAAGGCAACGTGGCAGTAGATGTGGCCAGGATGCTCCTCAGTCCTTTGGATGCCTTAAGGGTAAGGTTATCCTTTAACCGGGTCAACAAAGCTTCTAATCTTTATTTAAGCAGGTCACGGACACCACGGAGTACGCCTTGGAAGCCCTTTCTCGTAGCCAGGTGGAGCGCGTGCATCTTGTGGGTCGACGGGGTCCTCTGCAGGCCGCATTTACCATCAAGGAGCTGCGAGAAATGCTCAAGCTGCCCAATGTGGACACGCGCTGGCGAACCGATGACTTTTCAGGTGCAAAATCTATCCTAAAACCAAAAGAATTCAAATTATAAAGCTCATCATATTTCAGGAGTGGATTCTCTGGTGGAGAAACTGCAGCGTCCACGCAAGCGTCTCACCGAACTTATGCTCAAAAGCCTCAAGGAACAGGGCAGAGCTTCTGGTGCTGCTGGCTCAAAGCAATTTCTGCCCATCTTCCTTCGTGCACCCAAGGCAATAAACCTGGGAGAAATGGAGTTCTCCGTCACGAAACTCCAAGAGGACTACGCCGTGGCCACCGATAACACAGAGCGTCTTCCCTCCGACTTGATTCTCCGCAGCATTGGCTATAAATCCAGTTGCGTGGACTCGGACATCAACTTTGACACGCGACGCGGACGAGTTCACAACACAGAGGGACGGGTCCTCAAGGATACCGAGAAAATCGATCCTGGTTTGTATGTGGCTGGTTGGTTGGGCACGGGACCCACTGGCGTTATCCTGACCACCATGAGCGGGGCTTTTGCAGTGGCCAAGAGCATCTGTGATGATATAGCAGCCAATGTGCTGGACACTAGTTGTGCCAAGCCAGGATACGACGCGGCTGACAAGCGAGTGGTCACTTGGGATGGTTGGAAAAGGATAGACCAGTTTGAAAGCGAGGCGGGCAAGGCCAAGGGTAAGCCGCGCGAGAAAATCGTAAGCATCCAGGAGATGCTGAAAGTGGCGGGTGTCTAAGATAATTATTTTTGGTGTGTGTTTTTATAAACAAATCTAGCTTTCTTTTATTTATGTGTCGTTGAAATCCCTTTGTTATTAGTGTGTAAATATACAAATTTCATTTATAAAACATCATCAAAACTGTGGAAAATTTATTGTGCAATTTAAATTCAAGTTGGTGGAAAGATGGACAACTCCATAACCCCAGAACCGCACTTTGTGCCCGGGTAAGCCATCATTTTAGCTCTATAAAACAAGGATTCTGGTGGTAACCGTGGGGTAATCTCTAGATATACCGGTCACTGCGCCGGCGATCGCTATCGAGTGGGTCGCACTTATGGCCGGCAGTCGCACAACCTGCTCATCGATCCCTGTGTCTACCATGCCCCTGAACTGATTGTGGCCCCCATTCACACCAAGGGCGGCCTCAAAGACTATCCCACGCCGCATGAACTCAAGGTGCTGCGTACGAGAGAGGACCTGGTGGACTCCGTGTACAGGCACCCCATCCTGCCGGGTTATGCTGGTTTTGTCCCAAATATAGTGAGACAGACCGGCAAGCGTTATCTGGCAGCAGCATCCGCGGGAGTTTCCGACCACGAGACCCTTATGGAGCTTTACCGCTGCGAGAATCGAAACTTGCGACACAGAGATCTGCTAGAGAGCGGAAAGGGCCTATTCGACCGGAAGATAAACGAGCGGTTGCTGCCCAAAGCCTATTACCGGTCACCATTGATCCCGGTCACCGGCGTTTCCCAAGGCCTTAAGGACGAGGTCTGTCCCCCGAAAACGGAGAAACTCACCTACAGCAAGTTCACGTCGCCCCATTACCTGGAAGACGAGGATAACGACAAGTACATCATCAACGGCTACGCAGGCCACATTCCCATGTCGGTGACCCGGTTTGGGGAATCCAACCAGGTGCTCACCCACCGGGCGCTATGCAGCTTCTCGGATTACATGTACAAGAAGAAGAGGGACTCGTGGTGCTGCGGCCAGGATCTCAGCCGACCGGCTATCTCCTGTCCGCCGGTGGGTCACTTTGTCGTCTATCACACCACGGATGGCATGGTGCCCAATTACGCTGGACATGTTCCCGGCGAAATGTACAAGTTTGGACGCACCTACGGCAAGACCACGTACGACGCCAAGCGCTGGCTGGAGGTGCACAAGGGTCTCACGGTACTACCGGAGGTGGCCAACTTGAATTATACTTACTGACATAATAGACTAGATTCTGTAGTACTGATTTTAAATATTCTGAGTGTATAATAAATTTGCTGTATAGATATTTAAAAATAACGGTTTTTTTAAATTTGAATTTTTTTCGAAAGTTTTTGTAACTTTTATAAATCTAAGTACTGCATTTTTATTAAATAACACATATTTTTTATTAATATATTCCTGTATTACCTTCAAATGAATAAATCTTTTGAATTTCGAGAGATAACACGATTTTTTAGTAGAATATCGATATTATTCGGGATTATTTAGGCAATTTAGTCAGATTTTCATCTGGCAACACTGCCATCGATAGAGTCGCACACATATCGATATATCGTGTTTCTGCTTCTACGTCGTTTCGGCTGATGGAATTAAGTTTTAATTGATTGTGCGTCCAAATAATGTACGAATCCTCGCCAATGCCGTGGCCAATTGGAGTGCAGTGCCTCGTGTACTTGGCAATAATGTGAAAGCGGCCGTTGGGGCAGCGAAAACTCCACAGTTACCAACAAAACGCCAAGAGAAAAAAATCTTTAGAATCGAAATCGAACAATTCAAACACACACACATAGTGCCGCACCGTTCACACACCGCAGCGCAGTACAGTACCGCAGCGAGTGCGAGCGAGCGAACAGTATCTCGGCAGATAACATACATTTGTGTACCTACCTCTCTTCCAAGTGGTGAGTTGAATGCCGATTATGCACCCTGCACGCGTCGCGCCGAGCAGCATACGAAAATATTAAGTGGAAGTGCAGTGGCAACAAAACACACAGTTGGGAAGCGAGAAAACCACGAAGATAGGATCAATCCGTTGAGATTGCACCGATTTAGCGTCGCCCCCGCGTAGATAACGACCCTACGGGCGAGATTTATGGCGGGAATTCGGTGGGAGTTTGCGCACAGGTCACTAACAAGTCGGTGCGACCCCAACTGCGCCCGACTTGTTTATTAAGAGCGAACAAACGAATAAAAATAAAAACAAAAAATATATATATGTAATTGTTGTAGCAGGTGAGATTTACGACTGTGTGTTGTTCGTGGCTCGGAGAGAGCTCTTCGCGTCGTGCTTTTCCTAATTTCGTATTGAGAACGGGGGCGAATGGGAAACTGTGAAAAACCGCCAAAATGGGTTGAGAGTTCCTTTTGCATCGATTTTCCCGGTTGGAATAATGAAAATATGAGTTCGAATCCGAGTGCCTAAAGTTTTTGTTGTTTTTTTTTATTACTCGTTTGCAGCAAAACAAGTGAAGTGATGAGCGAATCTCTACCAGCTCAAGTGGAGGAGACCAAGGTGTCCGACGAAGATGGCGTAAAAGAGAAAGCTGAAGCTGCCGAGGGATCGGCCATGCAAGTGGACACGGATGTCAGTGGTGAGCAGACTCCGCTGCCCCCGGGTGACAAGGAGAAATCTACAACGGTGGACATCAACACACTCACCCCGTCGACGCCATCGCAAACGCCTCCCCAACTGCTGGCCGGTGACACTACGGCGTCGGGAACCACGGCCGTTATACCTGAGAATATCCTGTCTCCGCCCAAGTCAGAAACGCAGACAGATGAGACCAACACGGCCACATCTACGTCCTGCTCCCCCGCTTCGGAGGGCCAGCGATCTCCAATGGCGGAGCCACCCCAACAGCAGCAACTGGCAAGTACGCCGCCCAAGCAGGGGCAACAGGAGACGGTGGTGTCGACAGCCACGACGGTCAATGGCTCCATACCAAAGTCAGGAAAACCGCTAGCCACGGCCCTCAGCGCCAAGAAACCCAGCAAGGCTGCGTCCACGTCACCACGTGCCTCCCGAGCCCGCAAGCCCAAGGCGCTGCCCATGTACGAGAGCGAGATCAGCGACCACAAGGTGGGCATAAAGCTCTGCATCAAGAAATCCGATGCCGGAGACAGCGCACCGACGGCCACCTCTCCCCCTGTACTCGTTCCAGCGGCCTCTAAGCCTGTGCGCAAGCGCATCCGCAAACCAAAGCAACCGGACAGCGACGAGGCGGAGTATGAGCCGCGCAAGAAGAAGGGTGGCGGAGGAGGAGGTGGAGATAGCCAAAAGAAGGTTTCGACGAGTGCGGATGCGGCGGCTGCAGACGAGCCCATCGAGCAGAGTGTATGGGCCCAAAAGCTGCCTGAGGAGGTCCTCTTCAGGGTAAGAATAAAATGGAACCAAAAAAAGAAGAATCTTACTGACAAACACAACATATTCCGCTTGTAGATCTTTGAGCATGCCGTGGACATGGAGGGTTGTCTGCCCGCGCTCTTTCGCCTGGGGCGAGTTTGCTCGCTCTGGCGTCAGGTTTCTTTAAGGCCAACGTTGTGGCGCACCATGGATCTGACCACCTGGGTCAAGGAGAAGTATCGCACTGAACTGAAGTTAAAGTGGTTTGTGGATAACCGCTGCAGTGCCTGCACAGAGCTGAATGTTTGTAAGTAATGAATATGCATTTCGAAGGATGATGAGTAAAAATAATTGTATTTTTGCCTTTTAGCCAATTGGAAAATAACAGACATCAATTGCTTCCTGACCAAGCTGTCCAGTGGTTGCCCGAATCTGGCTGGCATCACGCTGTCTGGCTGGAAGGGTTTCACCTCGGATAATCTCACCTACTTGGTGGACAACTTGCACAAGTTGCAGCGCCTAGACTTGAGTTCCATCAATGTAAGTTGTAGGATAGTGTGCTCTTTCAGCATTTTCTGAGGTTGTTTACTTTACTCACAGGTCGAGATGAATGCCAGCAAGAGCGCTGTGGGCATCAACTCCTTGTGCAGTGCACTCCAGACCATGGGCAGTCGCCTAACGCATCTCTATTTGGCGCACAACCGTCTGGCGGGTATACCACAGATAGTCGGCATACTGTCGGTGAGTAGTCCTAACTCACTGCTGGCTATTTTATTCTTAATTTAATGGAATTTAAATCGTTGCAGACGCACTGCCCTAATCTGGCGTTACTGGATCTCTCGAACGTGACCACTCAGGCCACATCACACGGTGTACTGCACATTGAGAAGCTGCAGCGGGGCTGTCAAAAGCTCAAGGTCCTTAGGGTGACCAACTCTCACATAACGCCGAGCACAGCATCAATGCAGGAAATTGTAAGCATACATTGGCTTTTATATTCCTGAACAAATTCTATTATATATTTCATACTTGTCAGATGGACTCGCCCGGCTTTCCAAATCTCGAGGAGCTATCCGTGGCCGCTTTGACCGATGAGTCGCGCATTATTAGCGATGATCATTTGCAGCGCATACTAAAAAGCAGCTCCAAACTGAAGTTACTGGATGTTCGCAACTGCACGCGGCTGACACACGAGAGCCTTATCCGCCTGCCAGCCTGGGATATCAAGCATTTATTCCTGTCTGGCTGCTCAGTTACACGAGACATGGGGTGCGTTCTTAAAGAGTACGATTAAGGGAAAGTCAATACTAATTGAAAATTATCCTGTCTTTAGATCGGGTCTGGAACTCATCGCCTCCAAGTGGGCGCATAGTCTCATAGAGCTGGATCTCGCCTGGGCGAATGTACAGCAGCCCATAGACAATGCCCTGCGCGCCCTCGCCGAGAAGGGCAGGGAGTCGCCCTTAGCGTGAGTATTTTACATGAATAAATTAAACTATTGTGTGCTGATAAAACACAATTTACTTCCTCCCTGCAGCCATTTGAATCTGTGCGGTTCGTCAGTGTCGGACGAGGCAGTCAAGGAAATACTCACCAACTGCGTGAACATGAGCTCAATCAACCTGGCATCGTGCCGAGGGCTGCCGCGTGGAGTCAAGCGTCTGATGCAGGGACCCCAGGAGCTGCACGAACTGCGTGAAGTGTTGGGGGTGCAGCTGAAAACCAGCAGCAGCAGCGGGAGCAACTAATCCAGTCAGTGGGCTAGACCACACAACACATCGTCGGTTTTATTGTTGTTGATCAAGGCGGGCCAAGTTTAAATGTAATTTAAATTGTTGCAACCTGTTGATTTTGTACTGTAGTCTGCGGAAAACATATTGCAATATTTGCATATACATTTGCAATCGCTTGCATCTTCCAATAATGCTTATCTTGTTCATAGGCCGTAGTGTGTAATTATTGTACTATTGTACTAGTATTTAGAGTATTCAGCGCAGACCTTTTGTAAATGCAATATGTATTCATAATTTAGTTGATTCGAATTTTTTGCAGCGCGAAAAGCATTCACTTCCTGGAGGACTAACCCGTTTGCAACGATTTTCAATGATTTCCCCTTATCCATAAACATATATATATATAATTATATAGACACACTGATTTATTGTTAGTTAAGTCCGACCATTGAGTGTTTGTAAAGTATGTACACAGAGTTTTAAGCTAAGTTTAAAGGAGTATGTTTCGCAATACTTAATGATATATATTTACCATAAATTAGTCGTCAATTCAGAGTCGCCAGCTAAGGCAATTTGTAGAATGTGTTTTAACCCGATAGAAATGTACATATTGGCGTTAGAGAGCGTTCCGATTGGATGTTTTTTTATATACAACATAACCATTAATAAAAAGGTAACGCATATACCACACATACACATACATAACGTAAAATTAAATAACATAAATTAAAACAATTCAATTGTTAAGCATTACTAGCAGTTAAGAGACGGCAATTAAAGGTACATTTAATTTAAAATAAACGCAAACATTTTCAATCTTATGCCAGGTGTTAATTTTAAACTTTTCAGGGGCTCCTAATTAGATTTTCTAAAGAACTTTTTGGATTCCAACTGCAGGATAGGTAGATTATATATGTATGAGGAATATATGCCAAAAGCCCTTTTATAATAAACTAAAGGGTATAAAAATATGGGCTTAAATTTAAATTCAAATTATTTTCTGTTATACAGTTTGATTAGGTCCAATCGATATCGATAACAAAGTAAACCGGAATCGGTGTGGCAAGTTTTGAGCAGAATTGTGAAAGTAAATAAATAGTTATTCCGAGAATAAATAGCAAAATGCACGAACAACCACTGAAGGAGGTCACCCAGCTAATCCACGCCATCAAAGTGGGGTATGAAAATTAATTGGGGCCAGCGTTTAAACGGCAGGCAACTAAAGCCGCTAATACTTTGCAGATTGGTGGAGGGTTCCTACAATATAACCAACAAGACGCTGGACATCTTCAAGTACATCATTATGAGCAAAAGCTGGCAAAACGCCGATGCCCTCATGCAAATAGTCCGCGCCCAGTGTCGGATCCTGCAATCAGCTCTGCCCCAGGAGACGGTGTCCTCAAACATAGCCAGGCGGATCCTGAAACTTACCCGCGAGGAGTTTGATCTGCTGCATGCGAAGGTCCAGCACATTGCCGACGACTCGCAGGCCTCGCTGTCGCTGCACAAACTGGTAACCCAGACCAGTGAGAGCAACGTGATGAGTGACTACACGGTGCCACAGCAGGGGCTAAGAGAAGCTCTGCTGGATCACCTGCAAGAGGTGGAAACGGAGCTGGAGACCAGCTCAGAGAACATCTGCGTACAGGCCGAGGAGCACATCCACTCGTCGGAGATCATTCTGACTCTGGGCCACTCGCGCAGCGTGGAAAACTTCCTGAAGCGAGCCATCAAGAAGCGCCAATCCCTTACCATCATCGTTGCCGAGTGTGCACCGGCCTGTCGGGGTCACAACTTGGCTGCCAGCTTGGCGAGTGAGAAGAATGTGGAGATAATTGTGATCCCAGATGCGGCCATCTTTGCGATGATGTCGCGCGTCAACAAGGTCATCATTGGGACGCACAGTGTCCTGGCCAACGGTGGACTGCGGGCGGCTTGTGGTGCGTACACGGTGGCGCTAGCGGCCAAGCACTATTCGGTGCCGGTGATCGTGCTGGCGCCCATGTACAAGCTTTCGCCGCTGCACCTGTGCGAACAGGATGCCTTCAATATGGTGGGCTGTGCCGAAGATGTTATACCCTACGATTCCATTCCTGCACGGGAAGCTAAGGTCTACAGTCCCATGTTCGACTATGTGCCACCGGAGCTGATTACTCTGTTTATATCCAACACCGGTGGCCACGCCCCCTCGTATGTGTACCGCCTGCTAACGGAACTGTATCATCCTGAGGATCTGGAGATTTAAACTTGGTCGCTTTTCCCAAAGTGCCATTAATCGCTTATTTTGTTCAGCTTCAGCTCAGTTCATGTATTTTGATATTTTAAATTAAAACACTAGCTTGAGTATAACAACTGAAATCAAATCATTTATTATGAAAATATCGACATTTATTTTGTGATAACTGTTATACTTTGCTATAATCAGCTGGTTTTCTATCTCGTTCTTATCGATAACCGATAGTCCCACAGAACACAAAACTTTTGTGTAAACAAAATTAACTGAATTGTCATTGTCATTCTCTGACTGAAGTTTTATTTATAATTTAGCTGCCGATAGCAGCTATTCTCTCTTGTCTTCACATTTTCCTCCTTTCCTTTCCTTCTTTCGAATTATATTGAAAAAACTCGTCGAATTTAAGTGACTGCGCATTATTTTTGTGTTGCCCGAAAACACATGTGCGAGAAGAGGAAGAACAATAACATTTCTGGTAAATATTATGAAATTGCCTTTGTGACGTGGGTCGTAATTTACGCTATAGTTTTTCACTAAAACTTGCAGTTTTGAGTTCCTTTTGTGGTCTTTGTTCCGCTGCGTGATGTCGCACATCGACAACATTTTTACCCAGGTACGCGCTCGCCTCCAATCTGAGGGCGTAAAGCTGTGGGAGGAGCCCTACTTCTCGGAAGACCTTGGCTGCATCGAAGGCGCCATGGAGGTATGTTTAAAATTGTTATACCCAAAATAAATACAATTAATTTTGTAATAAATTTAGAACCTAGCTGCGGAATACGGTCGTTTTCTGGGCATACCTTCCGATCGCTGTTATTTCGTGCTTACCGAACTCCAGGATAATGCGCTCCGCAAGCTGGCCGCTCGCCGGGAATTCAATGCCACCGGATTGGCCACGTTCAAGGTGCGGCGCATTGACAATCGAGGTGGTGGCGGCACCACCACAATGCAGGACGTTAAGTGCGATCTGAACTCACTTGGTAGCGATCTTCAGGCAGCGATCGCTGCCAAGCTGCAATTGCCGGACTCAAATCATGTCAAGTGCATTGCAGCCGGAAAGATGGTGGCCTCCAATGCCACTCTCGCCTCCCAGCAGCTGAAAAACAACCAGCAGTTGATCGTGATCGTGACCGGTCGGGGCGACAATCAGAACGAAGCGCTCTACGACAGAATCAACAGGATCAAGGCCGACGTAGAGGCAGTCGTATCCTCACAGAATCAGCTGATGGAGGTGAGCTTGTATTCTGATTCTGTATTGAATGACTTTATTATAAGTCCCCCTCCCCCCTTTAGATGGAGGACCAGAATGGCAGTCCCGTTTTTCTGCCACCCGACGAAAATCGGGCTCTGCTTACCGGCTTGGGATTTTGCGAGAAGGCCAAGGTGGCAATGCAGCGCGAAGATTTCGAGGAGGCGCTGCTCCTACTCCTGGAGGCTGACGAGCGCTTTGCCACATGCAACTCGCAGTTGCTCGAGAAGGTGGACAATTACGCTCTGCTCAACCTGGACATAGTTTGGTGCTATCTCTGCCTGAAGAATGTCACCCAGCTTCCAGATGCAGAGCGGCGCTTGTCCATCTGTACGCGCAGTTTCCGCCGCAGCTATGGCGAAAACTTTGAGAGACTGTACTCTTTGAAGGGTAAGGCCTGTCCCGAAAGGGCTCTGCTAATGCGCCTGAAACTACTCCAGGGCGTGGTGCTATTCCATCAGAATCGTCGGGACGAAGCATTTGAGCATTTCGAAGCCGCCTCAGCTTTGCTAAGGGAATTGAAAGTCAACGAGGAGGAGCTAACAATGCTGGTGGAAATGGGTTTCGAGGTGAGTGAGGCCCGCTTGGCCCTGCGCTCCTCTTCAAACGGCGGCGGCGTGGAGCAGGCGGTGCAGTTTATCCAGGAGCGACGCCAACAACTGAAGGAGGCCCGCAAGCAATCAAAAGCGGAGCGATCCCTGCACCGTCGAATGTCGAATGGGAAAAACAGCGGCGACTGGGTGAATCCGCGCAGCGTTTGCACCCTTACCAATATGGGTTACGATCGTCGTTTGGCTGCTCTGGCCCTGAAGCGATCCAAGAACGACATTCCCCAGGCGGTGAGACCTCGAAAGCATTGAAAACTTTGACGTTTACTCTACCTACCTGATATCTCATTCCAGGTGGATCTTTTGCAGTCCCGCGCTGATGAGCTAATGGCTGCACTGCCCAAGACGCGTGTTTCCGCCGATACTGACCAGTTGGCCCATCTCCGCCAGCTGGGTTTTGACGAGGACTCAGTGCGTGCTGCACTCGAGAGCACAAGCAACAATATGGAGCGTGCCATAGAGTTCCTGCTGCGGGCTTTTCGCAGCGAAGGTGAGCTTCAGGAGGCTATGCAGCGGGTCACCGATCTTGCCACCAATGGAGGCGATGGGCCCTCCACCTCAAATTCGAATGCTGCGCCACCTTCACCCATCATCGAGTCTGTCCTACGACAGGCGCGTGCCGAAATGGAGACCTACAAGGCGTACCAGCGCTTTAACTCTGATCTAAGCCAAAGCGACCAGGACTACTTGGATCTGCCGCTGGTGCAGGAGGAGCATATACTGGCCGAGTATCGTAACCTGCTGGAGCAGTGATATTCAATCGTTTGTCAGAATGTAAAATATAATGTAATATATGATTTTCTATTATTTTTGGGCATTACTTTTGATATGGTAGTCATTTCTGGCTTGTTCCTAAGAAATAGTTATTGAACGCACGGAAGATTGAGTCCCCGACTTACAATATCGATAATTTTTATTTATACGAGTGTTTTATAAACGTTTTTCTAATCCGTACGAACCCAGTTTAGGTCAGTAATCAGTTCCACAGTTTCCCTTTTAGTTCTTCTGCAGCTTGTCCACTTCCTTAATGTAATCGGTACCCACTTTCACGATGGCAGCTCCTGTTCCCAGTCCGGCCAAGGTGGCCAGCAGGGCGTTGTCCTTCGGCAAGGCGGACTTGATCAGGGCCCAGGCCAAAACGGATCCCATGCTGAAGAGGGTGGCCCCCAGGAGAGCGTATGCTCCACGTTTGTTGTTCTTCACGTCCTTGAGGTGGGGACGTCCGTAAATGTAGAAGGCACTGCCCACCACGGCGGAGATCAGAAAGACATTGGTCAGATCCTTCTTTGGCAGAAACTTGGGCACGATCTGGGGGTTCATCACATTGACCGACAAGGCACCATAGCTCACCAGGCCATGGAGGGGTATGTAGTAGTTGAAGACGTTCTCCCGGGTGAACGGCTTCAGGCCCACCTTTTCGCATATGCTGCAGGCGTTGTTCTGTGTGCTGACCATTGTTTTTCGGTAAAAATGCAATTAATCCGTAATAATATCTCCCGGTGTGTGGAGAGTCTTCTTCTTCTTGTTATGTAAAGAACAGAGTTGCCAAATCGCGTCGAACTTGCAAGTTTTCGCCCGTCTTTGCAATGACCGCGCTTGCAGCCGCTGTTTTTTCCAACAAAAACAAACAAGTTTTTAATGTTTTTAGAAATATAGACTTGTTCTATGTCTAAGCTAATATGAATATGAATGAGATCTGAGTGAGAGGTGTGTGGACAACTTTAAAGCCTGTTCCTTTGATCGAATCGGTATATTTTATTTAAGAATAACACCTCTTAAAAGTGCAATATTTATTACTAATAAAAAGTCTAATTATTAGCTCTTCGGACTTGTCATTTTAAACATATTATATACATAATTTCTCAAATTAATAAGTGCTTCAAATGAACTAATAAAAGCCTCTTCGCGAACGGAACCTGTCAACTCTATTGAACAGCCGGCACAACTTGGAAAACCAGGTGGCAACCTCGACAGGCGCTGGAGAGTATGGGGAACGAGTGGGAGCGAAAGAGAGCGGAATAGGTGCGAAAAATTTGTAGCTGGTTGGAAATTCCTCAATTTCGATCCGCAAAAGTAAAGTAAATAGCAAGTGCCGGACAGGAACACCGATAGATGTGCGTGCCCCACGAGCAGCACCCGACGCGAATCGCCACATCCGCAGCCAGCGCCTGAACCAGCGCAGTCCAGTCTAATCCAGAGATTTCGCCGAAGCCCACAGTGCAGCAGATCCGTGGAAGACATGTTGACGCACAAAACTTGTCAGGCCCGTAAGAAAATGCAGGTGAGCGATGGCGGTGGGGCAAAATGGGCCAACCCAAAACTAATCCAATTAAATTTCCGGATATCCGGCGCCGCAGGTTTCCTTTGTGATACGGGACGCGGAGGAGAAGCAGCACCGGAATGGCGTCAATGCGCTCCAGCTGGACCCCAACAATGGCAAGCTGTACTCGGCCGGGCGTGATGCCATCATCCGGGTGTGGAACACACGCACCGAGTCCAGCGAAAAATACATACAGTCTATGGAGCACCACAACGATTGGGTCAACGACATAGTCCTCTGCTGTAATGGACGAAACCGTGAGTAAATCCCCACAGTCATGCTTTGCTTCCAACACCAAAGTTTTCCTATGCATCCCCGCAGTTATCAGCGCCAGCTGTGATACCACGGTGAAGGTGTGGAACGCCCAGAAGGGCTTCTGCATGTCCACCCTGCGCACCCATCGCGACTACGTGCAGGCGCTGGCCTATGCCAAGGATCGGGAGCATGTGGCCAGCGCCGGGCTGGACAAGGCCATCTTCCTGTGGGACGTGAACACGCTGACGGCTCTGACGGCCAGCAACAACACGGTGACCACCTCTAGTCTGACCGGGTCCAAGGACTCCATCTACAGCCTGGCCATGAATCCCGCGGGCACTGTTATTGTGAGCGGGTCCACCGAAAATATTCTGCGTATCTGGGATCCACGAACCTGCATGCGCAGCATGAAGTTGCGCGGCCACACGGAAAACGTTCGTTGCCTGGTCGTCTCGCCCGACGGAAACCAAGTGGTGTCCGGCAGCTCCGACGGCACCATCAAGGTATGGAACCTGGGTCAGCAACGTTGTGTTCAAACCATCCACGTGCACAAGGAGGGCGTGTGGTCGCTGCTGATGAGCGAGAACTTCCAGTACATCATCTCCGGCAGCAGGGATCGCAACATCATAGTGACCGAAATGCGAAATCCCAGCAACAAGATGCTGGTGTGCGAGGAGCAGGCACCTGTGCTCAGTCTGGGCTACAACATTGATAAGACTGGGGTGTGGGCCACCACCTGGAACTCGGACATTCGCTGCTGGAAGCTGCCCATGTACGACAGGTGTACGCTGAATTCCTCTGGCGGCATGGACGCCCAGTGGACGCAAGGCGGCACAGAGGTGGCCTGCATTAAGGGTGGAGCTGCCATCAAGGAGTGCACGGTGCTGAACGACAAGCGTTATATAATAACCAAGGATTCCGAGGATCAGGTTGTCGTCTACGATGTGCTGAGGGTGGTCAAAAAGGATCAGCTGGGGGCCGTGGACTACGAGGCGGAGGTGAAGAAGCGCAACAAGCAGGTGTACATTCCAAATTGGTTCACCGTTGATCTGAAAACAGGGGTGAGTCCGGGACATAGGGTTTTATTTACTAAAAATAATTTATAAATTATTATCGTAGATGCCCACGATTGTGCTGGGTCAGGAGGAAGTGGATTGCTTTGCGGCCTGGGTGTCCATTGAAGCCGGACTGCCGGAGTGCGTGGATCCCACAACAGAGATTAAGGTGAGTTTGATTATGTTTTTTTAGGAAAAATACTGATAGTTATAATTGCTCTCTTAGATAAACTATGGCAAACTCCTGCTAGAGGCCCTGCTCGAGTGCTGGACCCCACCGCATACCATACCACCAAACGAAATGGATCCGGACATGCATGGCAATGGTTACTTCCAAGTGCCCAAGCACACGCCCGTTATCTTTAGGTGAGCTACTCTATAGTTTATTTGTAATCTCTCTTATTTCTTTAATTATTTTTTACGAAACGAAACAGCGAAGTGGGCGGGCGCACTGTGTGTCGGCTCTTGGTGCGCGATGCAGCCGGCGATAGCGAGAGCACGCTGCTCCACGAGACGGCGCCACAGTGGGTGACCGATGTGGTCATCGAAAAGGTCATACCCAAGTTCCTGAAAATACCGTTCTTCCTGCAGCCGCATCCGCAAATGACCAAGCCGGAGCGCACGAAGAAGGTAAGGCATTGAAGATTCATCTTAACTTTCAATTTAATTATTAATTAAATATTTTAAACAGGATCGCCTGGTGGCCAATGAGTTTATACAGTGCCGCAAGGTGTGCGAGCATGTGCTGGAGAAGGTGCTCAATGCGGAGACCACGCCCAGCGGTGGCAACAACGCCAACAATTCCCTGCAAAATAGCCAGAGTGATGCCAACTCGGAGGGGTCGCAACTACCGGCGGAGGAGCGGATTGAACTGTGGTGCAACGATGTGGTAAGATCGAAAGGATTTATGGTCCATAAGGGACTCTTTTTGAATGCCATTTCCATTGCAGGTTGTGGATCCCAACATGGATCTGCGTACTGTGAGGCATTTTATATGGAAACAATCTACCGACCTTACGTTTCAGTACAAGACGAAGCAGAACTTCAACTACGATGGTAAATAGATGAAGTGACCACACGACAAAACACACACAAAGCAAACACAACGCATGATTGCCTTTTTGCCTAACTGTGAGTTGTGTCGTCCACCCACAGGTTCCATCGGGGATAGCCTGGAGCGCGTGACGCGCAACAAGTATTGAATGCCTGGCATGTGATCTCCCGCCTAGCAGCAGCAGCAGCAGCAGTGTACCGATGATGCATTATTGATAGAGAATGAGATTTAGCGCAGATCGATTAACCATTTTGTATGTATTTATGAATGTCTTTGTCACTCGAGGAGGAATCTTTTTGAACATTTCACATAAAGAGCACCGCGTGCTCCTAGTTTTGTTTGTTTTTTTTTTCGCGTACTTCAGATTCAGATTCAGACTTATAAGGATTAAGCTTGCGACACAACACACACGTAGATAACTGCAAACATACCATTTAAATGTATTTGCATCTGAAGCATCTAGACCTAGGGATTTGCGCCTATTTGTATAGAATATTCACATTTGTTTCACATAGGATTATAAATATATATAATTATATACATAGAACGTAAGTACATCTAAAGAATCTGTTAAAGATACAAAAGAAAAGAAAATCAATGCAATTGTAGAAGTCCAACCTGTAAAACGTTCTATGCAAGCCAATGTGTACATAAGTAACAAACAAAACAAAGCAAAAGTCAGGATGAAAATCAATTAAAATTAAACTTATTAAATTATTTGGAAATCAAGCTTGGCTCTCATTCCTTAAACCCCCAACAATTCGCTTAACTAATCAGTTGAGTCCTCCTAACGCCGTCTCCTGGTGCTGGCGACGCGTGAATACGACTCAATGGTGGTCAGCAGCAGGAGCAACTGTTGCTTCAGCGTCGACGGTATATTGTATCCGGCTATCACCCGACGCGGCGTATTACTCGTCCGTATCAGCCAGCGGGCGATGAGCCACAGGCAGTTCTCTCGCAGCGATCGGATAGGGAAGTGGATCAGCACCTGGCTGCGCACATCGCACAGTTGGTCCGGATGCTGTGGATTCTTGGGCACCCGCACCCGGACTGGCTGGAAGATTCTACGCGAGCGCACGTGCATCCGCTCGCCCGTGTAGTAGTCGCGGAAGAACCAACTGTGCGTGCTGAAGGTATTAACGCGCACCTCCTCGAACGGCTTCAGTGTGAGGTATATATTCTCCCGGTCCCGCTCGCACACCCAGTAAAGATCCACAGTGCGATTGGTCGTGTTGACGAACAGCACGAACACTTCCACCAGGCCCGGGGACGGACCCCCAAGGCGGCCGTCGCGGTTGTTGTGCGCTATTTGGAGCGCCATCTCCACCAGGGTGCCAAGTCTATCCGCGATGGCTATTAAATCAATTTTCGTTGTTTTTCTTTTCTGACTCTGCAAGCAAACAACAAGTATAGATAATAGAGATGGTCCACTTTCGAGAGCGATAAACAGCTTATCGATAACAAACAGCTGATCCCTGCTCTAGTGAAAGAAGTAAACAAATAACTACATAATTTGTATTGCTAAAAAATTAGTAAATTAAGCGTTTTAAGAGAATTAGGCTCGAGAACACCCTAAAGAGCAATATTCCCAATATGGCATTTTGCATTGCAGTCATTGGCAAGGATGTAAGTTATCTTTTTATTGCTTCACTAAATTACTAACTGTTCTATGCACAAAACCTAGAATGCCCCTCTGTACCTGACCACATCCGATATGGAGCAGGAGCTGGAGCTGCAGTACCATGTCCACGCCGCCCTGGACGTCGTCGAGGAGAAGTGTTTAATCGGCAAGGGTGCACCCGAGTCCAAGGAACTCTATCTGGGGCTGCTCTACTCCACAGAGAATCACAAAATGTAGCTTGAAATAGTATTATCCATTGTATACTTGTAATCTAGGGGCTTATTCCCTTACAGCTATGGCTTTGTGACCAACTCGCGGGTGAAGTTCATCGTGGTGATTGATTCCAGCAACGTGGCGCTTCGGGAGAACGAGGTCCGAGCGGTGGGTTATAATTCCTATTTGCTTTAATAGCATACTAATACTCTGCTCTCGCCAGATATTTCGCAATCTTCACATGCTGTACACAGACGCCGTCTGCAATCCCTTCTACATTCCCGGCGAGTCGTTGACTTCCAAGTAAGCTGGGATGCCTTATCATTCGGGGAAACCCTTTCACACACTTACACACTTCTCTACTTGCAGGAAATTCGATCGTGCCGTACAGAAACTGATGAGCGGCAATGCCTAGACAGTAGATTAAGGCGGAGTTAAAAATAAAGCTGAATTATTTATCGGATACTGGTCTTTTGGGGGGAGCTATGGGTCTTTTCTCAGGAGGGATGTCAAGGTGCCCCCGCCCGAAGCTAGTGCCGATCAGATTCAAATTGAGATACGCACAAGATGCGATCGGAAACCGGTTGCGCTTGCCTGGCTGAAAGCGAAATTATGCTAATTTGGACAATATTTTTGATGAAAATAATTCGAGAATTAATTATATCTTTACAATGTGTCTGCTAGTTGACACATACTTAGTTAATGTCTCCGTGTCGAACTCGTCTTCCGTCTGCCGATCTGCTCCGAGGCCCACACATAAACTTGTATTTTGGCTTATCTTATGCATAATTAATGAAATTAAATCCTCCGCGTCACTTGACTTGAACTTGGGCGCCACCGGCAGAAGCAGAAGCAGAAGCATCATTATCATGCTTAGCTGCCATCAGTAGCATATAAAAAGCGGTCAGAAGTTCCACAACGATATCAGTAAGCCTTCTCAAGTCTTCCAATCAACAACATGAAATTCTTCGTAAGTGGCTCTTATCACAAGCCAACCGCCCAAGGAATCTCTTAACCAACTGGTGGTTTAATCCTTATAGATTGCTTTCGCCTGCCTGTTGGCCCTGGCTGTTGCCAACGAAGATGCCGGTGTCCTCCGCAGCGAGCAGGAAGTTAATGTGGACAACTTCAAGTATGCTCTGGAGCTAGACAACTCTGTAAACGTTCATCAGACTGGTGAGCTGCATGGTGAGGAGTGGATTGTCAAGGGCGACCAAGCTTGGAAGTCTCCCGAGGGCGAGCCCGTGTCCATCCAATATGTCGCTGATGCCAACGGTTACCAGGTGCTGTCCGCCAACCCACCTCTGCCCACCCCACCACCAATCCCAGAGGCCATCCAGCGCGCCCTGGAATGGATCGCTGCCCACCCCTCCAAGGAATAAGTTATGTTTGCCAAAAAATAAATGCATTAAAAAGTATATCCTCTCTTGAGTTTTTATTCTTAGCCATAAAGGATCTGCATTGCATCTTCGTTTGCGTCTTGTATCGGAAAATAATTTGAATAATGAAACACACTTTGTTGAGAAACAAGTTTCCCTAATTTTATGCAGCGCAGCACAGCAAGTGAAGGTCAGCCACCGACGGATACGAAAGAAAACAGATAAACAGTATTTGAATGGCTCTGACAGATGACCATTGTTGATGAGCTAACCCTGAACTTGCGCTGCCTGCCTGTACATCCCCTGAAAGTTTCTCCACTTTCGGTTTCTTCTTTTCAAGCGGCATTACTTTGGCATACTTTTGGGCAAGACCCGTGTGGTATCAGAGCCTGTGACTCTTTATAATGGCTTTTATTCCACCCACGCTGTAATTTCGCATATACAATAATAGCAACTTGGTTATCACGAAGCTGTGACAGCATGGCAAACGGATCTACACAGCCGGGAATACATATATGTATATTGAAGATGTATTGTCAAACTTGGAGATAAATATTGTTAAACAGGTGAGTTTCGATTTAAACATTTAAGAACAAACAAGTAACTATTGATAAAATGAAACTATAATATTCAAATAAACATGTATCAGAAGAAAGAAAACTAAATTTGGTTAACTGAAGTTAATATACCTTTGAAGATTTCAATTGGATCAGAAGCTAAAAATTGAAATTAATCATAACAATGCCAAAAAGCAATGAATTAATTAAAAAATCCTTTTTTTTTTTTTTTTTTTTTATAAGTTCAAATTTAATTATACGTTAATCAACCAAATCAATGATTATAAAACGTAGGGACTAACACTAACAACAAACATAACATGGAAACATAACAGTAAACGGTAAACAACAATTTATAATTTACAAAGGCATTTCAGTTATTGGTGTAGGACTCGGGTTCTTTGCCTCCCTCTTAACCAAAGGTCACCTGGATGTCGTCTCTTCAGTCTTCGTCTGGACATGGGGATGGCCAATGATGCCGCTAGGTGGTTGGTGTGGGCCAGAAGCCGTTCATTGTACCGACTTGAGTGCCTGTTGATCTGCTCCCTCACTGGTAGCATTTTGAGGTCGTTAGCGATGTCTGCATTCCTAGCAAACCAGGGTGCATTTGTGATTGTGCGCAGCGCCCGGTTTTGGACCCTTTGCACTTTCATAACGTTAGAGTCGGACGCAGTACCCCATATCTGGATGCAATAGGTCATAGCAGGAACAACTATTGCTTTGTATATCAGCACTTTGTTGCTGAGGCTCAGCTTGCTGGTGGACTTTAGCATCCAGTTTAGCTTTCTGAGTTTTCCACGGCATGCTGCTGCTATTTTGGTGGTGTGTTGCCTCCACGTGAGCCGCTTATCCAAGATCAATCCCAGGTATTGGGCCTGAGGAGATTGAGGAATTAGCGTGTCCTGAAATTTGACCCTAGGGAGGATTTTGTGTCTCAGGGAAAAATTGCAGTGTTGCGATTTATTTCCATTTATGGATATGTTCCACCTCTTCGTCCACTCGCTATATGTATCCAAAAAGCTTTGCGTTTTTCTAGAAGCCTCGATTCGACACGCTGAGTTTGCGATAAAGGCTGTGTCATCAGCATACGTTGCAAGAAGTGTCCCCGGTTCTCTGGGATTGGGCAAGTCAGAGGTGTAAAGGGTGTATAACACAGGACCCAAAACACTCCCTTGCGGTACTCCAGCTCGACTGCTTCTAATGGATGATCTTTCACCTCTCACATCAACCATGAATTTTCGCTCCAGCAGGTACGATTTCAGAAGGAGATATTGAGCAGTTGGTAGGAGTGTTTTTAGCTTAAAAAGCAATCCATTGTGCCACACTCTATCGAAGGCTTCTATGAGATTTATATAAAACAGAGTTTATACAAACTCCAAGAAGCCGCCAGCCAGATTTGCCAAATAGTAAAAACACTTTAATTATAGATTTAGTTAATTAAACTTCTTTATTTTTCACAACCGCACGCTCTCGTTATCTTTAAGCAATTAATTCGGGTACGCATGAGCATACGAAAGGGAACCAAAAAAGGTCTTAGATAAGTGTGACCTTCTTTTTGGGATTTTAATCACTGTGACTTTTGGTATTTTCAACACGCCACCTCAAAAGTTACACTGATACAAATTAAGGATTAACAAAAACATAATTTTATACGAGTGAGTGCATATTCAAATGGTTGTAGTTTCTTTTCTTTTCTTTTTCTCTTTCTCTGGGGTCTCTTTCTTTTCTGATCCAGCATTTGCTGCAAAGAATTGGGGAAACCCAGTAAAACCCAATCAGATCAATCAAAAAACATAAATTAACATGATTCACTTATATATATAAACAGCAGTGGTTAGACTAGGAATTATTTTGGTTTGATTATGGTTAATTATATATATATATATATGCCAAGAGATCCAGTTTGTCTTGGTTTAAAAAGAAACTCCATATAAAGGTTCAGGCTAAAGGTCCAATTAGCCCCAGTTGGTCTCGCAGTGCAGTGAATCGAGCTGTTGGTAGTGGCTTCGTTAAAATATCAGCCAATTGGAAATCTGTGGAAATATACTTGACGCAGATTAGTTTGTTTTCAATTTGTTCCCTGGTAAAATGATATTTAATATCTATGTGCTTAGTTCTCTTGTGGCAAGTAGGGTTGTTGGCTATACTAATACAACCTTGGTTGTCTTCAAAAATATCTATTGGGCCATTTAATTTTAATTTAATTTCACTTATTAATGACTTTAGCCGTAATGCTTCTCTAACACCCTCAAATAAGGCCATATATTCGGCTTCGGTAGATGAAGCAGCCACTGATTTTTGTTTCATAGTATTCCAGGAAATTGAACAATCTCCAAACATTTTAAATATATATCCTGTAGTACTTCTCCTATCAGTCTCATTTCCCGCCCAATCAGAATCGACATATCCTATAAGAATATTATCCACTTTAGGATTCCTTTTAAACGATAACTTTAAGTCAACAGTTCCTTTCAAATATCTTAGAACTCGTTTAAGACATTGCCATAATTCTTTGTTATTATTATTAGTATACCGACTTAAGATACTTATCGATGTACTCAAGTCCGGCCGTGTACACAACATTATGTACATTAAACAGCCAATTAAATTCCTACATGGTGCTTCACATGATTCTTCAGCTTGCAAATCCTCATAATTTAGTTTGCTTGGAAGAGGGGTACTAACTGGATTACAATCTTGCATATTGAATTTCCTTAAAACGTTTTTAATATATGCAGATTGACTGAGACAAATTTGATTATCTTTTCGATCAATTTTTATACCCAGGAAATGTCGTATTTCACATAAGTCAGTCATTTGAAATGTACTTGAAAGATAAGTTTTAAATTTAGACATACTTTCGGAATTACTGGTGGCAATTACCACATCGTCAACATATAATAGTAAATATATATTTTTACTTATATCTCCCTTATCTAAAATATATATACATCGGTCTACTTCTAGATTCTGAAATCCAAAATTTTTAAGTGCATTTTCAAAAACCTCAAACCAGCATCTTGCAGCTTGCTTAAGGCCATAAATAGCTTTATTTAGTTTGCATACTTTATTTCCATCATACTGGTTTAAACCTTTTGGAACCTTCATATAAATTTCATCCTTTAAAGTTCCGTTTAAAAATGCTGTTTTCACATCCATATGATGGATCAGTAAATTATATTGATTAGAAAATGCTAAAAGAAATCTGAAACTAGAAATTCGTGCAACAGGTGCAAAGGTCTCATCATAATCCATCATATATTCTTGGGTGAAGCCCCTCGCTACCAGTCTTGCCTTATGTTTTAGTAAGTTACCATTTTCGTCTTGCTTTAAACTAAAAACCCACTTGCAATCTACTATGTTTTTATCCATAGGCCTTTGCACTAAGCACCATGTTTTATTTACAAAATGCGAATTTAGTTCATCTTGAATAGCTTCCTCCCACAAGGCTTTGTCATCTCGAAATTTAATTTCCTCATAAGTATTGGGAATTTCACTTAAACATATTTGGGTATTCATAAGACATTTTTCTAAAAATCTATATGATAATTTTGGTTTATCTTTATTTCTCTCACTGCGTCTGACTTGTTGATTTTCATTTTCTTGTATATTATCACCAGCTTCAACTACTGGATCGGTATTCTCGAGACAAGTGGAATTTTCATTTAAGTTTTCACCAGACTTAGAATCTATTGATTCATTCATTTCCTGTGATGGAAAATCTAACTCTTCATTCTCTTCAATTGGAGAATCATGACTTCTGCTAACTTCATTATGTTTTACCACAGAGTCATTTTCATTTAAAGTCATAGAGTTTTGTCCTTTTTCGTCCACCACTACATCTCTAGCTATCATAAATTTCCTCGATTCCTCATTCCACAATTTATAGCCATTTGGCTCATACCCGACAAGTATAGTCTTAATAGATTTCTCATCAAATTTTCGCTTACGCACTTTATTTAGTGCGTATACAGTCGATCCAAATACTTTCAAATACTTTAATATTGGCTTCTTTTTATGCCACATCTCATATGGTGTTTTTCTTATATTTTCCAACGCTCTACTTGGGGACCTATTAACTAAATAAGTTGCTGTTAAAACAGCTTCACCCCAAAAACTTTTATTAAGTTTAGTACAGTTAATCATAGAGCGAGCTTTTTCGGTGATTGTTCTAATCATCCGCTCTGCCACACCATTTAATTGTGGGGTATGAGGAACCGTTAAATGATAGCTGATACCTTTTTCTACACAAAACTCACGCATTTCATTAGAGAGGTATTCCCTGCCATTATCAATATATAGATTTACCATTTTTAAGTTGAAATGAGCCTCACTTTTCGCCACAAAGTCTTTGAATACAAAAAACACATCTGATTTATAAGTTATTAAATACGTCACGCAGTAATGTGTGAACTGATCAATAAATACTACATAGTAGTTTTTATTATCAATAGTTGAGGGCGTAATCGGACCACAAACGTC